ATAATACTTTTAGAGATATTTTTTTTCATAAATATAGTTATATTTTATCATTTATCAATTACGTCTGTGCACTCAAGTCAAAATTCAGTATGCAGAGGCTTTGAGATTTTTTTAATATAGAAGGCATGTTACTCTATACTAACACTATTTGCAATAAAGTGAAAATAATTTTGTAATAAAAGAACAAAAATAATTACTAGTTCTTGCTACAGACCTCTTTTTATCGAAATATTAATACCCGCCTGAAAGTTCGTAAATAGTTTCATCTCATCGTAACCTACAACTATTTTATTTTCGAAAACTCTCGGAATTGGGGCGTTTTGTCTATTTAATTAGGTACTAAAAACTCGTAAATACTCACTAACTTTCTACTTGGATCGTAAAATAATTTGATCACAAAATCGAGAAAAAAGGTGGCCTACAAAAATATCAGGCCGTTAGTCTCATATAACCTCGTTATTTTGATAATATGGTGTTGTAGGTCACGCAAAACGGTTCAATACTTTTAAAGGCCATCTTTTTTCTCTATTTTATGATCAAATTATCTTACGATACAAGTAGAAAACAAATGGGTATTTATGAGTTTTTAGTACGCAATGATTGAAAACGCCCCAATTTCAAGCGTTTTCGTAAATAAAATAGTTGTAAGTCACGATGAGATGAAACTATTTACGAAGTTTTGGGCGGATGTTAATAATTTTTATAAAAAGGGGTCTGTACAACAGACTATACCTGTTACTTTTCAACTGTTATGATATTTAATACTTTATAACTGTTATTTACGTTTACAAATAACTACTTTAAAAATAGGAGGTTCTTCTCTTTCCAAGGTGGAACTGAATAATAGAGAGTTGGATACTTGAAGAACATTGCTGTTAACTTAGACGATCATATGTACATTCCTAGATATGTAGTAATTCCTTTTATTCAATCTGTTATTTAAAAATTACGTGAAAATTTTTTTATTTAATAAAACGTTCTTTCATTTTCCCATACACAATTTAATATCTATTGAGTCTATCATCCTATAAAATTATATTAATTCATAACTTGATAAATATAAAATTCCTATCTGTTATTAGGAACTGATATTTTAAACTGCTAACATAACTAAAATAAAGAATCATACTATTGAGAATCCTATCCTGTTTATCATTGATAGTAAAAATTAAATTCAAAGATAATTTAATTGCAGAATCTCAGAAATAATGATTATGTTTTTGTAGTATAGTAACATGGGGTAACTTTGTGAAAGAGGGTAAAGTTTATTTTGTGGTGATTCCGTGGTAAATACACTGTGTTGGTTCAGTCAACATGGTTTTTGAGACACAAACGAAAGTTTCATCAAAACAAGAATTTTGAAAAAAGTAATGTAAATAAATAAAACCTAAATCCACAAGGAGTGTAGTGAACTAGGGTTTTCAACCTATCCCAAGGTAGTAGCGAAGTACATGGCTACACAAAGCACGTTTTTGCAGACTGAACCAACACAGTGTATTAACCACGGAATCACCACTAAATAAATTTTACCCGCTGTCCCCAAGTTAACCCATCTTATGGTACTTCAAAAATTAAAGATGACGATTTTTTTTTCTTATTTAAAATCAGAATTTTTATAGTTCTAAGAGGGTCTGAAACCATTATTAATTGAATTTTTTTTTTTATATTTTTGATTTGATTTAAAAAAAAATCAGAAGAACTGTTAAGTTCTGGACAGTGTGCATGTTAAAAATTAAAATTTAACTGTGTTAAGATTAAGGATAAATTTTATAACTGATTTCTATAAATTACAGAAATATTTAATTAGTGCTCGGTCTAATGATTGATAGATTATAAATGTCTGTTTGGTTTGGCGGAAACGACATTATCAAATCTAAATTTTATTTTTCATTTTCTTTTATTAAAAAATTTACAATTTGTACTTTTAATAAACATTACTTAATCTCAGATACTTAAGATTAAGGATAAATTTTATAACTGATTTCTATAAATTACAGAAATATTTAATTAGTGCCCGGGGTAATGTTTGATAGATTATAAATGTCCGTTTGGTTTGGCGGAAACGACATTATCAAATCTAAATTTTATTTTTCATTTTCTTTTATTAAAAAATTTACAATTTGTACTTTTAATAAACATTACTTAATCTCATATACCTAACAGATAATACTCTAAAAAAAAAAAATCACTACACGAAACTACATTTCGTTATGTGGTTTTATCAAATTTTGGTCCTATATGTTTCAGATACAAAATATTTTTTGTTTTGTGCTAACCACCCCATCTTACGTTACTTCAAAAATTAAATATGTCGATTTTTTTCCGTTTAAAGTCAAAATTTTTATAGTTCTAAGATGGTCTGAAACCATTATTAATTGCATTTTTTTAAATATATTTGATTTGATTTTTTTGATTTATTTAAAAAAAAAATCAGAAGAACTGTTAAGTTCTGTACAGTGTGCATGTTAAAAATTAAAATTTAACTGTGTTAAGATTAAGGATAAATATTTTTGGAAAACAATTACATTTTTGTTTTCAAATAGTAATGAGTCTGTACACGTATGATAAATTTGGTGACCCAATTAAGTGATTTTAGCTCACGTACGATTGATTTCGGTTTTTTTTAGTGAAAGAGCATTTAAAATAATGAAATACTTTTTAAAGAAGTACTCGTATTTTTTATTTTATTTATTTATTATAATAGAATAAGTATTTTTGATAAACCTAGACACTTTACAAGAAATATTTTAAGCGAATACCTCTCATTTTTTAAATTCTTTCTGTAGTTTATTTTATTCTTTATGACACTAATGTATTTTTTATTAGAATTGTTGGGTCTCTAGTGTTTTTAAGTTAAAAAATATATATATTTTTATTTTGAACGGATATGACTGAGATACATAAATGTTTTTCCGATGCAGCTAAATTCATTATGAATCGTTTTTATTCTTGATTATTTTTTAAAAATCGATTTCTGAAGCAGCTGATTGAGTGTTTGATAGATCGATAATAAGAGAAATATAATTAAAATAGATTCGTATTTTATTTAGTTTGCTAGATTATCAGTTAATTTTGGGAGTTAAAATATAATTCTTAAATATGAATGAATCTGCAACCCATATAGGTACGTATGAAACTGATATTTGTTGACAAAATCGATTTTTCAAGCTCATAAATAGGTCTGCTTTCTTTGGCTGCAAGGACATATTCATATCTCAATTTAATTTTTAATTTATCAAATAATTTATAACTTTTATTTTTTTTTACAGACATTATAACTTAAAATTAGACACTAGAAAATACTTTTAAATAAAATAAATTTACTAAAATGGCTGTTTATACCTATAAATATACATATATATTTGTTCCAAAGCTTTTTTTTTTTTTTTATGGAACTAATGTATTGTTTATTTATTCAATTCTTACTACGTTTTTTGTTTTTGGTTATTTTTCTAATTGTTCCTATATGTTTCAGATACAAAACATTTTTCGTTTGACAGTTATACCGATTGAATACATTATTAATTCAATTTTTTTTAGCAGAAATATTTTAATACTTATTTCTATAAATTACAGAAATATTTAAATGGTGCCTGGGGCTATGTTTGATAGATTGATACTGTATATAAAATGAAACAATATATATATATTTCTGTTTTGTTTGATGGAAACGACATTTTCAAATTTCAATTTTATCTTTAATTTTTTTTTATTGAAAAATTTACAATTTGTTCTATCAATCAATATAACTTAAAAACACTTTTCGTTATGTAGTTTCGTGAATTAAAGACACTAATGCATTTTTTTATTAATTTAATTTTTAATACGGCTTTTATTTTTTATATCATGTTTGTCTGTATTAATTTATCAATTTTGGTTCTATATGTTTCAGATACAAAATATTTTTCGTTTGACAGTTATATCGAGTGAATAAATTATGAATCCAATTTTTTTTCTTAAGCAATATTTTAATATTGATTTCTGAAAATAACAAATATACTTGAATGGTGTCTGAGGAATGTTTGATAGAATGATAGTAGCAAAAAAAATTTGCTGGTTAAAAAAACAAAACAACTAAATCTGAAACAAGAGTTTATGGAATTTGGTAATTTTACATACTGGAGCCATATTTTTATTTAGTAAATACTTTATTTTGATATAGTTAAAGTTAAAAAAAAGTAGTTTCTATTATTTTTTATAATTTGATTATAATTCTATTTAAAAATTTGACACATAAAAAGTAGACGAAAAATTTTTTGAAAAAAAAGTTGAAATATAACAATAAAATATATAATTTCGATGAAAATCGCTTTATTTAACCCTTACACCTCCACACGACTTTTCAAGCAATTTTGCCCATTTTCAATTCGAAATATTTATATCATTATCATATCTATGTAATATTATTTTTTATATAATTATTATAACATGTTTTTCTTCTCTTCACATTCTTCTAATTATTAATTCATTGTTCAGTGGACATAAAGAATGTTGTATTAAAAGGACAAAAATGTGTAAGATTTGATGTAAATTTTAAATGGACTAAAATGTGTAACATTTAATTTTTGACGGTCTATTATTAATTTACGGTGGGGTGGCGATCATAAATAGGCTAAATAGTGGTAAAATTATTTTATTGAAAGCCGACGTTTTGATCCGACTTTGCAGGTCTTCTTCAGGGAGGTGTGTTCAGCTAGGAGTTACACTTAGAACTCGTGAATTATTTTATATAAAAAATAATATTACATAGATGATATGATAAAAATATTTCGGCTTGAAAATGGGCAAAATTGCCTGGAACGTCGTGTGGAGGTGTAGCGATTAAATAAAGTGATTTTTCTCGTAATCATAAATGCCTTTGAAAATTTAGAAGATTTAATTGAAATATAACATTTCAGTTAAAATATTCTTTCTTTTTTTTTAAATTAAAAATATTATAGAGAAATCGTTCTAAATAAAAATTGAATATTATTTCTAGTGTTCTAAGACGTATTACTTACTGTAGAGAGAGAGATGCGGGATGAAAGATACACTGTTCCACAGAGGAGAAACACTACACTGAACGGTTGAAGATATATGAAGATACATCCCCACTCTCCTAGCAGTCTCCCTACCGAGAGGTGCAAGGGGGGTCTATATATACAACTGTACTTCATATCGTATAATTTACAGTACTCCAACATGTTATAATTTTATGGACATCATCAAATATTCAACTAAATATATCACAAAAGTTACAATAACTGAGACAACTCATATATATATATTTACATATGACAAAATAATCAGAGCTTGATAATTTTTTGAACAATTGTTTCGTTTTTAAATTTTTTTTTAAACCTTAATAAGATACTTAACACCAAACAGTTTTGGTAAAATTTGACTTCGATAATCCTACTTTAAAATACTAATTAAATTCAAATTCTAATAAATATGAAGGTATCAACTCGGCATAGAAAATATATGAGTCGAAAACCTCGGATTTGTATTAATTTATGATTTTTTGTTTGTTTTTGGTGTTAAATATTCCTTACAATATTACGAATTTTGTTTAACAGTCAATTTGACAGCAAGTACCTATCCATGATAATTTGCATGCTCGTATATTTTCTTTCTCACAATTCACAATATTTTTCCTTTTTAATTATTTATCTTGCTATATATATTTTAGTTAATATCTTCATTTATAAACTCCTTATAATATGTTATAAAATTAGGCATTTATATAATTAATATTAACGAATGTATGCTATAAGGCCTCTTAATACATATGTGTTTATAAAATGTCTATTAATCGATAACTGGAGTGAATCGAACATTAACATGCACAACACTCGTCAAATATGTTATTTTTATAGTGTGTTATATCATTTAGACCTTTATATCTACTTAACATAATATCAACATGTTATTTTCATAAAATTATGAGGCTATAGTTCGTGTATATAATTGATATTTTATATACACACACATCAACAATGTTATTACATCAATGTGTTATATATCTATGTAACAAACTAGCACCACTACTCAACATAACAAAAATTTCATATAAAATACATTACAACATTTTTTTTTACAACTCTGTTCGAATAGGACACTAGAGAGTGACAGATGAAAATCGAGACCAAAATTCGGGCAGAGTTTGATCCGGCAATGTGGTAGAGGTGTACACACAACACAAAATCTGGTCCCCAAAGGAATTGACTAGCAAAAAAAGAATAATTAAAAAAAAAAAGGAGAATATTATATTTACAAAAAAAAACTAACAAAAAAATTTAAAAAATCACGTAACTGTGGTTTCAAAGATGCAAATTTTGGTGAGTGTGATAAGCCACTGAGAAGCGTGTGTTAAATAAAACTTAGATAAGCTTGAGAGTAACACAAAGCTGATAAAGTAATAAGTGGCTACTTAACTCAACTTACTCAGTCAAGTCAAGTCCTTTCACCTGTCTCGGTAATCTGAAACAATTTCTAAGGTTAGAGATATTATTTTACAACCAACCAGAGGCAATGTTATGCCCGGACACGGGCTGGATTCCAGGCGGCAGACTGGGCATTATCATGCCGTTTCTGTCTTTGAAATCGTCTGCCGGTTTGTTCTCTGTCCTAACTTCACTCCTACCTTGCACTGGAACGCTGGAAGCTCTCTTCAGTACTTTCTTCTCGCACTTCTCCTCGATGTCGACGCTGGAGCTCTCGTTCGGATGGTACCTAGACTTCTGGAACTTCTCCCTCTTCTTCTTCAGCATCGAGAGCGCCTTCCCTTCGACAGCGCTTGCGTTGGAGTCGGTGTCCGTCTGGTTCTCCGAGTTGGGACTCCTCTGCTCGCAGACGGAGTCTTCGGACCTGCTCTGCGATATGAACTTGCTCACTTTGCCGGTCTTGGCCACTTCGATGAGGCTGTCCCAGCGCCGCTTCTTGTTGGCGCTGAACATCAGCTTGGACAGGTTGTCCCGGTACTTGCGCCGAATGCTTAAACCTGGCCCCCCACCTATAATTATGAAAGAGAATCAGTTATTGTCCCACAAGTCGGCGAGAGAAAGCTCTACATCAAAGCTCTTACTTAGCCTCGCCGAAGCGGGGTTGGACAAGTTATCGTTGGAAGAACTCTTCTGGAGGGAGCCTTGGTGCTCCAGGACTGGAGCGACACTGGAAGAATTGGAGGAGCTCGGTGGAGGCGCGATGTTGAAGCCCTTCATCAACCTCCTTTCCTTCTGCCTGTTCTTCTTACCGCCGGCACCTGCAACAATTTTATATTAATAATAATAATAATAATAACCTTTATTTGTAAATACAATACAAAAAACAATAGATATGTACAAAATCAACATTTTAGCTGAGGTTTGGTGGATTTTCTTACATTTATTTTTTTTTCTAACTTTCTTGCGTTACCTTGGCTTCCTTCCAGACAAAAGTATAACTTGGAACCCACATACAAGACTTAAAAGACAAGAACTTAACCAACGATATGGCCAGCTATATAGACTACTAAGCACGACATCTCATATTTCGATTGAAAATAAACTTTTAATCTACAAGACAATACTGAAACCTATCTGGACGTACGGACTTGAACTGTGGGGAACTGCTAAACATTCGAATATCAAACGCATCCAATCCTTCCAGTCCAAAGTACTTAAAACAATAGTCAACGCCCCATATTATGTCACAAATAAGACCCTACACCATGACCTTAACAACCCATTTGTCCTCGACATCATCCCTTCCAGATTCTCAAATTTTCACCAAAACCTTATCCATCATCCAAATCCTCTAGCTCAATCCCTTATCCAGCTCCCACCATCCCTACAATTCCCCACGAAGGTTAAAACGGCAGTGGCCGCGAGATCTATTGTAAATATGCTTCTGGAGTCCTGCCAATGGCCAGCTTCTCCATTCAAGTCCTGAGCATCTGTGGCTCTAGTGCCCTCCTTCAGCCTCCACTTGCTTTTAATACTAGTGATGCGGCTGGAAAAGTGGCACTGGGATTTCTGGAGTCCTGCTTTGCCTTCCACATGTGGGGAGAAAAGGCTGGCTCGGAGATTCCTGGGCGAATGTATGTATTGCATATAGGTATTAATGTGTTAAGAAGTTTTTATTTTATTTTGTTTGTTTATTTTTTTTTCCTATTATTTACTTTTTTCTATAAGTATTATTTATTTACTTTTTATATTTATATTTACTTCTTTATTACTTGTATATACTGTATGAATGAGAACTAGCCTTAATACTTATAGCCCTCCAACAGTGGCTGATTGTATTATTATTCAATGAAATATAATTAAGAAAAAAAAATTTCTTGCAACCACACATGGTAATGAACCTGTCCCAACCGTTTCCATCCTTTCCTCTCCAATGCCACTCTCTTCCAAGCTATTCCTCCACAGGTCTTCTTCATCTCATTGCCCCGGTGTGTCTGTAAGCGTCCTTTCTTCCTCACGTGCTCTCTTGGATACCAATCCACAAACTGCCTGGTCCATGTTAATTCATTCCTCCTGATTACATGTCCGGTCCAGCACTTTTTCCACAATATCTGAAAGGTCAGTCTTAGCTCTGATCCATTTATTCGCTTTTCTATCTCCCCCATAATTTTATATTATACAAAATAAAGATAACACACATAATCGTGAGGAATTTGTCATCTTACCAACATTTTACGGAAGGACGGACACATTTTGAGAGGGTTTTGAATTTTTTAGGGGAGTACATTTCAGAATGAAAAGTTTCAAATCAAGGAACAAGGAGAACACATGTAACAGGCCGCAGCAAATGTAATTGTATGCAGGGTGTTAAATGGCTAACCTGAAAATATTAATTAAGGACCTCAAAACCATTTAAGTTTAACGTGGTTTAAGCCCGGAGATAGCTATTATATAGTAAAATTTTGAGTGAAATATTGCAGGAATTCGTCATAGTAGGCAGGGAGGGATTGAGATTTAACATGGCAGGTGATTAGGGTACTAGACATGAGAAGGATTTGGAGGGAAACATTCAGAGTTGGGTAGAGAAACACTAAAACAAATAAAAAATACAGAAAAGCTATTACAATTAATAAAAATGAGAAAAAAGAAAGTGTTTAATGAAACAAAAAATAAAAAGCATAGTGAAGAGAAGAATAGTTGGGGTGGTCAGTCAAAAAGGAAGGCAAAAATAAATGATAATATTTATTTTTACATATGCCGACGTTTCGACCTGAAGTTCAGGCATTCATCAGAGCTGAGAAAATAACCAGATAACAAGGTATGAGAAACATAAGTAGTGATGGTAAAAAAAACGAAAATAAAAAATAAAATAAATAAATTTAAAGTAAAAAGAAATTATTATTATTTTTTTTTTACCATCATTACTTATGTTTCTCATACCTTGTTATCTGGTTATTTTCTTAGCCCTGATGAAGGCCTGAACTTCAGGTCGAAACGTCGGCATATGTAAAAATAAATATTATCATTTATTTTTGCCTTCCTTTTTGACTGACCACCCCAACTATTTTTCTCTTCATTATCCGCGACAGTCAACCAATTACCAATTATAAAAAGCATATAGTTAATAATACATAGGCTAATATGTGAAAGAAAAGAAATACAACTAAAACCGAAAATCTTTCTTTCAAAGAAATTTTGTCAGTAGTTTGATAAGGATGGGGGGTAGACGAATATAGTCCAATATATATATATATATATATATATATATATATATATATATATATATATATATATATATATATATATATATTATATAATTTTATTTGTATACAGGGTGTTTCAGAGTTGGTGAGTTAAGTTAACTGAAAATACAAATTAAGGACCTCAAAACATGAAAAAGAATTCCTATGAAGGTACGTCCGCAAATAGTTTGTTTAGGAGATATTCACACCTAAACATTTTCATTGTAATGAATTATATACGTTATATGAAATAAATAAAACTTATTTTTTTGTTCCAACTACAAATTAAACGTAAACATTCATATTAAATGTTGTTCAAAGTGATTTCCTTGAGCATTAAGACATTTTCTTCAACAGCATCAGTGGCAGAACGGCACTGGATATGTGTTATTGTTTCACAAGATTCAATTATCCTTCTTCGTAAGGAATTAAGATCATTGATTGGACTTTCATAGACGTTTTGTTGAATGTCACCCCAAACTAAAAAATCCAGTGGTGTCAAGTCTGAACGTGCAGGCCGAGCCACTGATCCTGCACGGCCATTCCACTGATTGGAATAATTAACATTTAGCCATTGTCGTGTACAATATTTAATACGAATGTTAATGTTTACATTTAATTAATAAAGTAGAAGGAACAAATTAATAAGTTTTAATTATTTCATATAACGTAAATAATTCATAACAACGAAAATATTTAGGTGTGAATATCTCATAAACAATGCGTTTGAGGACATACCTTAAGAGGACATTTTTTAAATTGTTTTGAGGTCCTTAGTTCATTTTTGCAGTATGCCACTTATCGCGGGATTTAATAACATTTAAAAATTAATAATTAATTAAAATAAATAAGTTCAGTCTCCATTCGATTGCTTAGACCAAAACGGCGCGGATTCGATTCCCGCATGGGGACGGTAACATCCCCACTCAGAGATTCACAGGAAGGTGATCGATCTTTGTGTCTTATACCACAGCTCCTGAATGGATATTTCTGAAGGTTGGCCCAAACATCCTTCTGGAAACTGCCTAATGAAGAGAGAGTAATTTGTGATCGTGTCCGATTAGTAAACCATGTGTTTCCTGGTTATCGTCAAGAGAACCAAATGATCACAGCTGTCGCCTATAACCGCCCCAAAGCTGCTAGAAAGACTCACATGTTTGAAGTCGAACAAGTCGAGAGGCGTAAAAAATAAAAAAAAAAATAAAGAAAAAAATTCTCATATCTCCAGTAAAAAAAAATTTAAGCACTTCGTATAAGCACTGGCTGTCCAGTTTTAGCATACTTTCCTAGCTATGTCGTATAAAAGTCGTAAAGTTTTACCGTTTCTTTATGTTTTGTTTTATAGGATTCGTGAATAGCCTTTGATAATAACGTAGAGTCAGCACAGCCGTTGTATTTCGCAATTTGTAAACGTTTTCTGCCTCCAATAGAATGAGCTATAATTTATCTTTCGTCAACAAATGAACAAAAAATATTGTTATTGTTCTGCAAAAAAAGAAAATTCACTACTTTTTAGAATCAGCAGTCTTAAGCTTAGTGTCTTAAATTTTACAAATCCAAGCTATCCAAAGTGCCCGCTTACATTTAGGGATGAGCAAAGTCATAAAGTTATTGAAAATAAAGTATTGAGCAGAATAGTCGGACCGAAGAAGCATGAATCAACAGGAGAATTCAGAAGGTTACACAACGCTGAATTGTGTGAGTTGTATCCAGTTAATATATTTGAGATGATTAAGTGGAGGCGAATAAAATAAGCATATAAAATCGCTGGGCTTAGTAACGTAGAATTCTTAAAAAGCCGATTGGTAAGCATCCGACGGGTAGGCCGAAGCGAAGGTGGAAAGATTACATTAAGGCTTATCTGGCGGGGTTGGGTTTAAACGGCGCACGGTGGATAGAAGAGTGTGGACATCGATTGGTAGTATCGGCATCGAACCTTCGGGCTCGCTAAGCCTTATTATTATTATTGTACTACCTTCAAGTGCCAGTTTCCACTTCAGGTGCTGGACACAGTGACCGACATATTATATGTTTGGAGGTTTTAGTATTTTTCATTTATTTAGTTAGTACCCCAGGAAGATCTCCGGCACCAGGATCGAATCACGGCTGATGAAAAATTCCCTGTCATCAGTGAGATTTTAACCAGGAAAATTGAGCTTAGGAAGTCAGTGATTACTCACTGAGCTGCGCTGCTCCCAATTTTATTTATTTTTTAAAATATTTATACCGTACGTTTAATAAATAAACACAAATTAGATAGAACAACAGCAAAATAATAATACTAAAAATAAATATGTATAAACAAAAATAAACTTAAATGAATTAAACTAACAACTTAAATACAGGTATACTTTTATACCATAATTGTGTCTTAAATTTTACACATCCAAGATATCCAACGTGACCGCTTACATTAAGGGATGCGGAAAGTCTTAAAGTTATTGAAAACAAACTATTGCCTAGAATATTCCGCCCGAAGAAGCATGAATACCGGAGAATTTAGGTTATACAACGCTGAATTGTGTGAGCTGTATCCAGTTAATATATTTGAAACGATTAAGTCAAGGCGAATAAAA